CAGGGCACCAGTCATATTGAATTTTACCTAAAATGATCTCATTTACCTCAATTACTTCTTTAAAGTCCCTGTCTTTACAAAATTATGAATGAAAATGGACTTATTACAACCAACCCCTCAGAAATACAAGCAATTATCAGGGAATACTATGAAAAATTATATGCCAACAAATTGGACAACTTAGAAGAAATGGACAAATTCCTAAACACACACTCACTACCAAAATTCACACGGGAAAAAATAGAAAACCTGAACAGACCTATAACGAGTGAAGAAATCGAATCAGTGATCAAAAATCTCCCAACATGGGGTGCCTGGGTGGCTTAGTCGGTTAAGCGTCCGACTTTCGCTTAGGTCATGATCTCGCGGTTCGTGGGTTCGGGCCCCGCGTCGGGCTCTGTGCTGACTGCCAGCTCAGAGCCTGGAGCCTGTTTCAGTCTGTGACTCCCTCTCTCTCTGACCCTCCCCTGCTCACGCTGTCTCTCCCTATCTCTCCTAGAAATAAATAAAACATTAAAAAAAAAAATTAAAAAAAAAAATCTCCCAACAAATAAGAGCCCTGGACCTGATGGTTTCCCTGGAGAATTCTACCAGACATTTAAAACAGAATTAATCCCAATTCTTCTCAAGCTATTCCAAAAAATAGAAGTCGAAGGAAAACTCCTGGACTCATTTTATGAAGCCAGCATCACTCTGATTCCCAAGCCAGACAGAGATCCAGCAAAAAAAGAGAACTATAGGCCAATATCCTTGATGAATACGGATGCAAAAATTCTCAACAAGATCCTTGCAAATCGAATCCAGCAGCATATCAAAAGAATCATCCACCAAGATCAAGTGGGATTCATTCCTGGGTTACAGGGCTGGTTCAACATTCGCAAATCAATCAATGTGATACATCATATCAATAAAAGAAAAGATAAAAACCATATGATCCTGTCAATAGATGCAGAAAAAGCATTTGACAAAATACAGCATCCCTTCTTAATAAAGACTCTCGAGAAAGTTGGGATAGAAGGAACCTACTTAAACATCATCAAAGCCATCTATGAGAAGCCTTCAGCTAACATCATCCTCAACGGGGAAAAACTGAGAGCTTTCCCGCTGAGATCAGGAACACGACAGGGATGTCCACTCTCACCACTGTTGTTTAACATAGTGCTGGAAGTCCTAGCATCAGCCATCAGACAACAAAAGGAAATCAAAGGCATCAGAATTGGCAAAGAGGAAGTCAAACTTTCACTCTTCGCAGATGACATGATACTCTACATCGAAAACCCGACAGACTCCACCAGAAGCCTACTAGAACTGATCCAAGAATTCAGCCAAGTTGCAGGGTACAAAATCAACATACAGAAATCGGTTGCATTTTTATACACCAACAATGAAGCAACAGAAAGAAATCAAGAAACTGATCCCATTCACAATTGCACAAAAAACCATAAAATACCTCGGAATAAACCTAACCAAGGATACAAGAGATCTGTATGATGAAAACTATAGAAAACTTATGAAGGAAATGGAAGAAGACACAAAGAAATGGAAAAACATTCCATGCTCATGGATAGGAAGAATAAATATAGTTAAGATGTCATTACTACCTAAAGCACTCTACACATTCAATGCAACCCCAATCCAAATTGCACCAGCATACTTCTCAAAACTAGAACAAACTATCCAAAAATTTGTATGGAACCACAAAAGACCCCGAATAGCCAAAGTAATACTGAAAAATAAAACCAAAACGGGAGGTATCACCATCCCAGACTTCAGCCTCTACTACAAAGCTGTCATCATCAAGACAGTATGGTATTGGCACAAAAACAGACACATAGACCAATGGAACAGAATTGAGAACTCAGAAGTGGACCCAAAAGTATACAGCCAACTGATCTTTGACAAAGCAGGAAAGAATATCCAATGGAAAAAAGACAGCCTTTTTAACAGATGGTGTTGGGAGAATTGGACAGCAACATGCAGAAGAATGAAACTAGATCATTTTCTCACACCATACACAAAAATCAACTCAAAATGGATAAAGGACCTGAACGTGAGACAGGAAACTATCAACACCCTAGAGGAGAAAGCAGGAAACAACCTCCTTGACCTCCACCGCAGCAACTTCTTACTTGACACATCCCCAAAAGCAAGGGAATCAAGAGCAAAAATAAACTGTTGGGACCTCAGCACTGAGTGTTATGTGGAAACTAATTTGACAATAAACTATTTGTAAAAAAAATAAATAAATAAAAAAAAATAAAGTCCCTCTCTTTAAATATAGTCACAGTCTGAGGAACTGAATGTTAGGACTACAACATATGAATTTAGAGTGTGTGTTTGGGGGGGGGACACAATTCAGTCCATAACCAGGGGACTTGTTTCAACAGTTAAATCATTTTGCATGAATTAGATCACTCTTAAAATACTTTGTCCTGAACGTTAAGTGTTTCTCATAACAGAATTTAAAATACTTCATTAAGAATGCTTGGGTAGCTCAGTGTTCAGCATCTAGCTCTTGATTTTGGCTCAGGTCATGGTCTTGCGGTTTGTGGGTTTGAGCCCTGTATTGAGCTCTGTGCTGACAGTCCAGAGCCTGCTTGGGATTCTCTTTATCTCCGTCTATCTCTGCCCCTGCCCCTCTATCTCTGCCCCTTCCCTGCTTGCTCACACGCCCATGTGTGCACACTCTCTCTCTCTAAAAATAAGTAAACATTAAAAACATTTCATTGTTTAAAAACGTAAAATAATTAAGTTAATTAAAACAAAGTTTATATAGCTGTATATGTCTGATAACACACACACACACACCATTTATTGTATACTCACATGGATTAAGCATTATGCTAAATATTTTAGACAATTATCTCATTTAATCTTGATATTCTTACAAGTCAGATATTATATTCCCTCATTTTACATATAATGAAACTGTGATTCAAAGAGGTTTGATTGCTTCCTTAGAGAATTGGGATTGGAACTCAGTTCATTGAATTTGTGCTCTTAACCATTGAATTGTGGATGTCAGAACAGTACAGTCCAATAGAGCTGTCTACACTGTCCCAATAGAGTTGCCACTAGCCACATACAACTGTTAAGGTCTTGAAATGGGGCTAGTGTGATTGAGAAACTGAATTTTAAGTTGTATTTAATTTTAATTAATTTAAAGTAAATAGCCATACGTGGCTAGTAACTACCATATTGGACAACATAGTTACAGAAGGTTGAGTTGTGAAAACTAAATGTATAGCTTATGCATAAGTAATCAGCAGTGTTTTTTTCTCTTAAATAGTTTATTGTTGAGTTGGTTTCCATATAACACCCAGTGCTCATCCCACCAAGTGCCCTCCATGCCCATCACCCCCCTTCCCCTCTCCCCCACCATCATCAGCCCTCAGTTCTCAACATTCAAGAGCTTCTCATGGTTTGCCTCCCTCCCTCTCCCCAACTATTTTACCCCTTCTTCTCCCCCATGGTCCTCCATTAAGTTCCTCCTAATCCACCTATAGGTGCAAACACATGGTATCTGTCCTTCTCTGCCTGACTTATTTCGCTCAGCATAACACCCTCAAGTTCCATCAATGTTGCTACAATCAGCAGTTTTTTAGAACAGAAATGAGGTTTCCTGTGTTTTGCTAGAATCTTTTTTTTAATTTTCAAAAATAATACATGCACATGGTTTTATGCAAACAGTTCAAAAGAGGTTACAGTGGAAAATAAATTTTCCTCTGACCATAGACTCTCAGTTCCCTAAAGTAACCACTGTTTCTACTTTCTTTTTTTCTTCTAGAAATAGCCTATAGATGCATAAATAGAACCAACCTTTTAAAAAATACAAATAAGCATTTTTAAAACCAAATCACAATCTAATTTTTTAAAAGATTGAAAGCAAAAGACTTTTAAAATACTAATTCATTTGATTTCACTTTTTAAAAAATAATATTTATTTTTGAGAGAGAGAGAGCATGTGAGCAGGGGAGGGGAAGACATAGGAGGGGACAGAGGATCCAAAGCAGGCTCTGTGCTGGCAGCATAAAGCCCAATGCGGGGCTTGAACACATGAACCATAAGATCATGACCTGAGCTGAAGTCAGTTGCTTAACCAACTGAGCCACCCAGGTACCACTGATTGTACTTTTAGTCCTTTTTGGAGTGAGGTGTGCTATACATAAATATGTTCTTATTTTCTAGCAGAGTCCTCATACCATAGTAGATTTTAAATATATATGCGTCAGAATTTTAAATTCAAAGCTTCTTGGGTTGCCTCAGGTGACTCAGTTGGTTAAGAGTCAGACTCTTGATTTCAGGTCAGGTCGTGATCTCACAGCTCATGAGTTTGAGCTTTGCATTAGACTCTAAGCTGACAGCGTGGAGCCTGCTTGGCATTCTCTCTACCTCTCTCTCTGGTTTTCCCCCACTTGTGTTCTCTCTCTCAAAATAAATAAACTTAAAAAAAGATGAAGTTAAAATCTTCTTTGCTCTTATTTTATCTCTGTAATACTTATACTAGCTAGCAATTTATTTATTATTATTTTTTGTTAATTTTTTTAATGTTTATTTTTGAGAGAGAGACAGTATGAATGGGGGAGGGGCAGAGAGAGAGAGAGACATAGAATCTGAAGCAGGCCCCAGGCTCTGAGCTGTCAGCAAAGAGCCCAATGTGGGGTGTGACCTTACCAACCAGAAGATCGTGACCTGAGCCAAAGTCAGATGCTCAACTGACTGAGCCACTCACGTGCCCCACTAGCCAGGAATTTAAAACCATGTGTTCCAAATAGTTAACCATTTATAAGTTTAATATTGTCATGATGTGAAATTACAGTGTTTACCTTAGATGATAGGTCAATGTTATTTCCTACTTGATCATCACTTTATTAATACAGACTTTCTTATTCATTATATAAGTATATTATATAAAACTTATTAACAGTTTATATTACTAGATTCACAACAGTTGTAATATGATTCTCCTAAACAAAAATTGTTTTTTTTCCCCACTACAGAAAACTTGAGGATATTGTCTTTAGGAAGAAACAACATAAAGAACTTAAATGGACTGGTAGGTTGTTATTTATTTCTTAAAAAAAAAAAAAAAAAAAACAATCTTCTTTCCCCTTAATATACAAGTAATATTTGTCCATTGCAGAAGCTTTACAAAATCAAAAAGCAACTATAAGCCACTGACAGTGTAAATATTGTTAATATTTTGATTGATACCCTTCTTGCCTTTTTTTCTATTCTTTGATGGGTATGTAGAAAACGAAATCATATTACACATATTGTTTTGCTCTCTTTTTTACTTAATATGTAAAGATAATTTTTTTCATGTCATCCATTCACTTAACAAATTCATTCAGTATATTTCCTGAATGCCTACTTTAAGCCAGGTACTATTCTAGGCTTTAGAGATACAGAAGAATATGAAATGAAGTCCTTGCTCTCCTAGAACTTCCATTATAGTAGAGGGAGACAGTCTAGAAAATATTTGTATAATACATATACAATACATTGTATAATACAGGTGGTGATGAATGCAGTGAAGAAAAGCAAGGCATATACAAGAACGTAGATTGACAGGAAATGAGAATATAAGCTATAGAGCTGACCAAGGGACAGGTGCTCCACACTGAGGTGGGACAAGTGCAAATGTCCTGAAACTGAAGCTGCTTGGTATGCTTGAGTTAGAGCAGAAGAGTTGAATGAGGGGAGGGAATAGTTCTAGGGATCTTGGAAAGGGAGCCAGGAACCAGGCTACATTGAGCCTTACAGGTCATGGTAAGATTTTAGATTTTTTTTTTTCCAAATGGCTTGCAAAGCCACTGGAAGTTTTTGATCAGAAGATATAACTTAAGTTTTTAAAATGATTTTCAACCATACTTCTTTTTTTTAATGATAGCATAATACCCTATTTTACTGATATACCATAATTTTTTAAATCAGGTACTTATTACTCATTATTTATTTCCAGTTTGGAGTTATTATAATCAATGCTATTATGAATCTCCTTTTAGCTATATTATTGCACACATCTATGAATAATTCCTTGGATAAATTCCTTGAAATGGAATTGCTGGGTCAAAAGGTATGAATTTCTTTTAAGGCTTTTGTGGCATATTATCAAGTTACCCTTCGGAAAGTTGTAACAATTTATATTCCTACCAGTAAGTTATGAGGGTTCCCATTTCCCCTTATCAAACTTGGGCACTTAAAACTTTTTAAAGTTTTTGATAGGGAATTATATTTGTATATTTTTTGGCCATTTGAATTTCCTTGCAGAGGAGTTGAGATGAAACAATGTTGTAAAATTAGGCAGTTTCAGGAATGACAAAGTTAATGTCTTTCTCTTGTATTTGTTCCCAAAAAGATAATAATAATTTTTAAGTATATATTGTTAAATAAATTAATAAACATTCCCAACATTTTTATGACTCTGACTTTCTCCCCCCTCCCACTCCTGCCCCCAATAAGCCTAGCTTGTGCTTTGTAAGAACCAGTGGGGTTGAAAACGCAGTGCTTCTCAGCAGTAACCTCCCCAAACGACACAGGCTGACATGGCCGCTCCCTGATGACAGAGGCAGCTGTAATACCTGAACTCTTTCAGTGTTCAGAGCTGCAATTTTGGAGTTATCATGAACCCTATCTACTTACCCACACAAATGTTACTAGTAAATTTATGAACTACTTGGAAAGTCTTAGAAATTATATTCTGGAGTTAAATATAGGAAGTTTTCTCCCTCAAAATAATAACCGGGGATGAATTATTTGCTTTCTAGTTAGATACATTGAGTGAAATCCTTAAAGATCTATAAAATGACATTGTTTCTGATGTTCTAAATGACTGGTAAATCTAAAGATATTTTGCCTTCTCTCCATTCTGTGCGCCTTAAATGGTAAAAATGTCAAATATAGAGGCGGTATTCATAACGGGTACAACACTAAATTGTAGTACAAAAGTTCAGAATTTATTATACTTCAGGCTAAACATTACTTGAATTAACTGTAAAGGAAGAGTTTGCAAGTAAATGTGCTCCAAAATTTGGGAGATCAGTATGACAAATGCTTGATTTGCCCCTAGGTTTTTATAGAATACCAGATTCTCAAGTATTGCTATAGTATATAATATCTTCCATGAATTGTAATATATACCTAGAAACCACAAAGAAATTATAAATATAAGATTAAAGGCATTTGTAGGGATATTATCTAGTTCAACCATCACTTGCTTAGATCTCTCACTTTCTGTAGACTTCTGTGAATAACACCTAGCAGGTTTTTCCCCCCAGATGGGGTGTGTGTGTGTGTGTGTGTGTGTGTGTGTGTGTGAGTGTTTGTACACCATACATACACTAAACATTTTACCAGACCATTCACTACTTCTGCATAGACAAAAGAAAAATAAATCTTCATAGGGATATAGATGCTGGGTTTCAGATAGATTCACATACTAATTGATTTATTCATCGAGACACACCAGCCTTATAGCATGATTTAAATAGCCACCTCAGTAAGTTACAAATGACTAATATGTGAAACATGGAGTGCTAAATTAAAGGAAAAGGGTCTATTTAAAACTACTTAGGGAAACTGTAAACGTACATCAGAAGCCCATTTGTGTATAAGATCCAGCCTTTGCCTTCCTTTCAGATGTCACTCCATATTACTCTTCTTCCAAGTTGGTAATCTCCAACCATTGGTCTTTCTCTTCCTTGAACATGCCAAGTCCATTCCCACCTGACAGACCTTTGTACTTGCTGTTTCTTCTGCCTTAAAAACTTTCTTACCTACGACTTCTACATTACTGACTCCTTCTTAACCTTCACACTTCAGCTTAGATGTCACCTCCACAACAGTGTTCCAGCTACCATATATCTAAAGTAGCCCTCTGGGCAAAAACTCTTACCACTTATAATTTTTTTCTTCTTTCTTATTACTATCTGAAATTCTCATTTGTTTGTTTCTGTCTCTGTCTTTCTGTCATGTCACATACACACACACACACACACACGAATCCTCATGAGTACCTTAGTTTTGTTCATCAGCATATACATTAGTGCTTGATATATGTAGTAGGCATTCTGTAAATATATACTGAGTGACTCCATATATTACTAATTACAAAAACTATTAATTCCAAGAGTAATATATGTTAATTGTAAAAAACAAATCAAGCAATTCATAAATATATGAACAACACTGTGAAAGTCTTTCCTCTTTTTACCTATAGATATCTGTGTGTGCATGTGTATGTATGTATATACATGTTATATATGTTTGTACTGATAATATACAGGCCATATTTTTTCTGCTTTTTCATTCAGTAGCTTATCAGGAATATCCTTCTGTGTCAAAACATGCAGATTTAATTCATTCTTTTTTATATAACAATGTGTTTAACTACTCCTATACTGCTGAGCACTTAAGACTATTTTCTTGAGGAAAGTATGTCTGTATCTTTTTTTGCTATTACAAATCATGTTGCAGTGAACATCTTCACACATATAACCTTCAACAGTTATTTGAATGTTGATATAGGCTAGATTGCTAAAAATGGAAATGCTGAGGATATTTGTATGCATTTAAATTTTTGATGGGTACCTCAAATTGCTCTCACAATGCTAATGCCAGTTTTCTACTTCCATCTATGATATATAGATGAGGATTATCCCCTCAACCCTCAATATCCATGAGTATTATCCATATTTTTTATTCATATTTTTAAATTTCTTTTTTGGGGGCGGGGAGAGAGAGAGAGAGTGGGGGAGAGTGGAAGTGGGAGACAGAGAAGGAGAGAGAGAATCCCAAGCAGGCTCCATGCTTAGTGCAGAGCCCAACATGGGGCTGGATCCCACAACCCTAGGATCATGACCGGAGCTGAAATCAAGAGTTGGATGCTCAACTGACTAAGGCACTCAGGTGCCCCTGTAATCCGTATTTTAAAAAAATTTTTTTTATGTCTTTTATTTTATTTTGGGAGACAGGGAGCGGGGAGGGGGCAGAGAGAGAGGGAGAGACAGAATCTGAAGCAGACGCCAGGCTCTGAGCTGTCAGCACAGAGCCTGACGCAGGGCTCCAACCCACGAACCGTGGGATCATGACCTGAGCCGAAGTCAGACTCTTAACCGACTGAGCCACCCAGGCGCCCCTAATCCATATTTAAAAAAAATTTTTTAATGTTTATTTTTGAAAGAGAGAGAGAGAATCAGAATGTGAGTGGGGGAGGGGCAGAGAGAGAGAGAGACAGAGGCATAGAATCCCAAGCAGGCTCCAGGCTCTGAACTGTCAGCACTAAGCCCGATGTGAGACTCGAACCCCTGAACCACGAGATCATAAACTGAGCCAAAGTCAGATGCTTAACTGCATATACCACCCAGGTGCCCTAATCCATATTTTTAGTATTTGCCAATATGATAGGCAAATATGGAGTATTGTATTGTTTTAACCTGTTTTCTCCAGTTAGTTGTGACCTTGAATGTCCTCCTATATATTTGTTATATGTTTCCTCTTTTGGAAATTGACCAAATAGTTATTACTCATTTTTCTATTGGCTTTATTTTTTCTTACTGAATTCTAGGCACTCTCAATATTCCTAGTAATTACCCATTGTTGAGAATATTATTGCTATTATTGCTGTTAACATTTATTAACTATGTAGCAGACTCTTTACATGCATTGTTTCATTTGAAATTCACAAGTAGATAATGTCCTCATTTTAAGATTTTTTAAAAAATCCTCATTTTAGGATAAAGAGACTTGGGCTTAGGTAGTTATCTAAAGTACCCAAATATAGTGAACAGGCACTTTTAAATACTGTTGCTGAGACCAGCAGTTTGTCAATTGCTATCACAGTCTTCGATGTGTATTTATTTTGTCCCAACTATTCTATATCTAGGACTTTTTCATCCTCACATACATGAACAAAGATGTTGGACCAGATATGTCATTGCAACAAAGCTTGTATTAAAAACTTCAACAAATTGGGGCTTCTGGTGGCTCAGTCAGTTAAGTGTCCAACTTTAGCTCAGGTCATGATCTCACAGCTTGTGGGTTCGAGCCCCGCATCAGGCTTCGTGCTGACAGCTCAGAGCCTGGAGCCTCCTTCTGATTCTGTGTTTCAGCCCCCCCGCCCCCGGCCTTCTCCCACTCGTGATCTCTCTCTCTCAAAAATAAATAAAACGTAAAAAAATTTTTTTAAACTTCAACAATCTTGGGGTCTATCAGTTGTAGACTGACTAGCTAGCTAGCTAGCTAAATAAATTAATAAAATACATCAAGAGGAAAAATGAGGTAGGACTTACCTATACCTGCTGGATGGAATAGTTTGCAAGGTATGTTGTTAAGTGAAAAAAAAAAAAAGCAAGGTATATATTTCTGTGTATATACATATATTCAGCTATATATGTGGGGTAGGGAGGGGGTATAGGATGAGAAAGACTTTTCTTTCTATGCTTGTTTGTATTCCTTGGGTTTTTTGTTGTTGTTGTTGTTGTTATATTACTCTTTACTTTAAATAAATAACCAAACTAATGATTCCTCCCTAATATACAAACAAAATATTTGTTTACCCACGTTTATAGCAGCATTACTCACAACAGCCAAAAAGTGGAAGCAACCCAAATGTCCATCTATGGATAAACAGATAAACAAAAAAGAGGATGATGGAGGAGAGGAGGGCAGGAGGAATGAGAGAAGGGGTGGAAGACTTAGCCAAGATAGTCAAATCTAGGCAATCTGATTGCAGATTCCACACAGTAATTTAAAGCAAACAGTTTTCAGAATTTTTGTCCCTTAAATATTTTATTTTTAAGTAATCTCTACACCTACCATGGGGCTCTAATTCACAACACCAAGATCAAGTATCGCACACTACGCTGACTGAGCCAACCAGGTACCCCAGTTTTCAGAATTATTAAATGTATTTTTTCTTAATTTGTCACTTGTCTTTTTACTTTATTCACAGTTGCCAAATGAAGTTTTAATGTTTATTTATTTTTGAAGGAGAGACAGACAGAATACAAGCAGGGAAGGGGCAGAGAGAGAGAGGGAGACACAGAATCTGAAGCAAGCTCCAGGCTCTGAGCTATCAACACAGAGCCCGATGTGGGGCTTGGCCTCACGAACCACGAGATCTTGACCTGAGCCAAAGTTGGAACCTTAACCAACAAAAGCCACGCAGTCACCCCCAAAAGGAGGTTTAAAATGTGTCAAATTTATTTGCAAAGTCTTTATGTCTTCTATGTTTTGTATCTTTTATAGAACACCTTTACTTCTAGATTATAAAATTAATCATCTTCTAGTACTTTTATAGTTTTTTTACATGTAAAAATTTAAAGTTGTTATCTTGAGTCCATCTGGAGTTTATTTTTATATGTTGCATGAGGCAGGCATCAAACCTTATTTTTTTCCTTCAAATGGTTAGCCATATATTGAAAAATCTTTCCCACTGTAAATGCCACCTACTAAGGTCTGTGTATGCATGGTTGGATTCCTGGATGGTCAAGTTTCCATTTGTTATTTTACCTGTATATTCCAGCCCAAATATAATGCTACTTTAATTTTCTTTAGCTTTATAATATGTTTGGATATCTATTTGCATAAGTCCTCTTTTCTTGTTCACAATGTTTCTTGGCTTTTCTTGGACATTCACTCTTCAAAAGAAACTTGATAAGTTCATAAAAATAAATCTCCATTGGAAGTCTTATAATTCCACTGAATTTATAGATTGATTTTTGGAGAAAATTGATATCCTTATAGTAATTAGGCTTCCCTTACAGGCAGATTTATTCAGATTTTTTATGTCTTTCAGTAGAATTTTATAGTTTCAGTTCCTGTAAGGCCTGTATACTTTTTACAAAAATGAATTCCTAGGTAATTTACAGTTTTTGTTGCTATGATGAATGAGATCATTTCTCTTTAATGACTTCCTGTTTATAATATAAAAACGATTTGTTTTTATATACTCATAATCAACTGCCTACAAACTTTTTTAAAAATATAGTTTATTGTCAAATTGGTTTCCATACAACACACAGTGCTCATCCCAACAAGTGCCCTCCTCAATGCCCATCACCCACTTTCCCCTCTCCCCTACCCCCCATCCACCCCTAGTTTGTTCTCAGTATTTAAGTGTCTCTTATGGTTTGCCTCCCTCCCTCTCTGTAACTTTTCTCCATTCCCATTTCCCATGGTCTTCTGTTAAGTTTCTCAAGATCCACATATGAGTGAAAACATATGGTATCTGTTTTTCTCTGCCTGACTTATTTCACTTTGCATAATACCCTCCAGTTCTATTCACATTGCTACGAATGGCCAGATTTCTTTCTTTCTCATTGCCATGTCATATTCCATTGCCTACAAACATTTCCTAACTGTTTGTGAATCAGATCTTCCTAAAGACTTTTAAGCAACATTATGATATCTGAATTCAGTACTTTATATAAACAATAATAACAATAATCATTGTTTTATGTGGTCCAAAATGGAGGTTTTACAGCATTCCATTAAGCCTTTCCCACTCCTATAACCTCCAATGTAATACTGTTTACAGAACAGACATTTTTTTGTTGTTTTTAGTACTCATAATGGTTTATTGATCTCAAAGAATCATAAACTTTAATAGCTGAAAGGGATCTTAGAGAACTTCTTGTCTAACCTTCTCATTTTTTTCATTGTGGTAAAATGCACATAACATAAAATTTACCATGGTGCCCATTTTTTTTTTCATGGTAACCATTTTTAAGTACAGTTCTCTGGTATTAAGTATATTTGTATCATTGTACAACCATCACTGCTGTCCATCTCCACAATTCTCTTCAGCTGGTAAAACTGCACCTCTGTATCCATTGAACAATGGGTCCCCTCCCCTCAGCCCTGGCATCACCATTCTACTTTCTGTCTCTGTGAATGTGACTACCATAGTACCTCATGTAAATGGAATCATATGGTATTTGTCTTCATGTGACTGACTTATTTCACTTAGCATACTGCCCTCAAGGTTCATTCATGTTGTAGCATTTATCAGAATGTCTTTCTCTTCTCAGGATGAATAATATTCTATTATATTTATATACATATTTTGTTTATCTTTATCCATCAATGAACACTTCAGTTGTTTCCACCTTTTGGCAATTGTAAATAATGCTGCTGTGAAGATGGGTATTCAAATATCTCTTCAAAACTCTGCTTCCAATTCTTTTGGGTATATGCCCAGAAGTGGGATTGCTAGATCATATATTTTTAATATTTAGAGGAACCACCAATTTTCTGTAGCAGCTATACCATTTTACATCCCCACCACTAGTGCACAAGGGTTCCAATTTTTTCATATCCTTGCCAACATTTGTTATTTTTTGTTTGCTTGATAGTAGCCATCCTATTATCATGAGTGTGAGATGGTATCTCAAATGCCAACCTCCTCCTTTTAGAGTAAGAAACTAGAAGGAGGAGTGATTTGTTCATATGCAGAAGCAGACCAGTTTGCTAAATAGCTGTTTAGTCAATGTTCAGTTCTCCAAAGGGCCAGTTTATTGTTTATCGTGTTTGTACCACCATTGATTATTATATCTAGCATTTAAGAGCCAGTATGATGTAAGCTTTATACTGTAATAGAAAGACTGCGCACTTTTTTAATGTTTATTTATTTGTGAGAGAGAGCACATGCTAGCGCAAGCAGAAGTGGGGAAGGGGCAGAGAGATGGGGAGAGAATCCCAAGTAGTCTCCATGCCATCACTGTCAGTACAGAACCCTACTGTGGAGTTCAGTCTCACGAGCCATGAGATCATGACCTGAGCTGAAATTAAGAATCAGACACTTAGTTGACTAAGCCACCCAGGTGCCTCAAGACTATGAGTTTTAAATTGAATTTTATACTTCAAAAAAAATAAGAGGAATTGATGTGTAGATAGCAGGTGGATAGATGGACAGATATGTGATAGGAAAAGGATAGTAAATGTTAATGGTAGAATCTGGGTAGAAGATATATAGTCACTGTAATATTCTCTCAACTTTTTATGTTTGAAAGCTTCCATAATAAATATTAAAACAAAACCCCTGAAATTTAGACTTAACTCTATTATTTGATAGCACTGTGATCTTAGAAAATGCCTTTAATCTCTCTATAATAGAAACCTATTAAGTCTTTAATGTTTTAAGGATCAAATCATATAATGTATAGGGACATAATTTGAAATCTATGTCATTCAGTAAAAGTGATAAAGTAGTGCTATTGTTTCCCCTTTTGGTAATTTCAGTAGCTATTCTTAGTTCAGATCAGTTTGAAGAGAGGAAGAAAATGTTCTACTTGCCTTTCTTTATGAGAAAAAAACCCCACACAACCTTCAGCAATCCTGCCAGTCAACAGGTAGGTTTCAGTTCTCTCTGAAGGCCATTGTCTCTATGTTTATAAGAAAGGGGGACAGAAGGAAAAGTTTAAAAATAAGCTTATAAACCAAATTGCTTTCTTTTTCAGGAAGCAGTAGGGGACACATTAGAAGAACTGTGGATCTCCTACAATTTTATTGAGAAGTTGAAAGGGATCCATGTAATGAAGAAATTAAAGATTCTCTACATGTCTAATAACCTGGTGAAAGACTGGGGTAAGCTGAAGCTGGCGCTTTGCTAACCTTCTACCTCCTATTTATAGAAAATAAACAAAACGAGATGCAAATGGGAACATTTCTTTCTAAGCACACAGGGAAATAGCTATAGGAGTTCCTATATTTATGCTAAAAGCTTGAAATTTACATTTAAATATTTACTTAGAAGGACTATAATTGAATAGATCCTGGTCTTATTATTCATCATGAAAATATTTAAGTTATTGTCCAGAGGCTGAAAGGAATCAGTTTACATTTAATAATCTTGGGTAGAAGATGTCTTTGCCTTCTATATTACTTTGCTTTTTTATAATACATTATTCATTCAGCATTTACTAAAGTCCTATTAAGTGTTATGAACTATGCCAGGGTCTTAAGATACATAATTGAATAGGATACTGTCTCTGTCTTCAAGAAATTCACAGCTTAGTAGGAAAGAGTAGTTAGTAAGCTAATAATTATAGAACTTTGTAATGAGTTCTTCACTAGAGGTGTGAATTCTTTAGGAAGTCACAGGTTAAGGGTGCCTTTCTGGTTCAGTCAGTAGAGTGTGTGATCCTTGATCTCAGGCTCATGAGTTCAAGATGGTGTGGAGCCTATTTAATTTAAAAAAATGTCAAAAATGAGGGAATGGATAGAGACAAAAGAGTTTTGGCTTAACCCTTACTGTACAGCGTAGAAAAGGCCTATCACTGGAGAGTTTGTGATTCAGAATCTCATTTTCTTTTCTTGTTCCACCTGTAGTCTTCAGAGAAAGACTTCATATGGGATAACTTCCCTAACCTCTTTTGAAATCTTAAACAAATTGTTCTGAATAGTCACAAACTGAGGGCTAGTGATACTGGAGTTCAGCCCCTCAATCCCAAAAATCATAACAGGAAAGCATGCCATTTTCATATGGAATGTATTCTTCGTACTTAAAGCTGAATTTGTGAAGCTGGCCGAACTGCCATGCCTGGAAGACCTGGTGTTTGTAGGCAATCCCTTGGAAGAGAAACATTCTGTGGAGGGGAACTGGATTGAAGAAGCAACCAAGAGAGTTCCCAAACTGAAAAAGCTGGATGGTGAGTGACCCTGAGCCAGCTTGGGACAATGATTTCTAGGCATAAGAATTGAATTTGTGACATGGAATTGTATAAAAAGGAGCACAACCGAAAATAAAGACAGTTTGTCTCTCATCTCCAAAGCCACTTCATTCCATAGGAGATTCTATAGTCTTGAGTTTGGGCCAGGGTGAGATGAAAAACTCCTGGGATACTTAGACCGGTAGATCATCCCTTGACCAAAAACTTTTAAGAAAGTTGGGCTTGTTCTCAAGTCACAAGGGTATTATTTTGCAGAATAATTAGACTTAAATGGTAAGCAGTTGCTTTTTCACAACTGCATCAAAATTGTAGTTTTCTCTCTACACCCTCCCACCACACCTAATTTTAGTTAACCAATATTTAAGATAGGTGTCAATATCAGTAGATATCCCTGACTAGGTTCAAGTTCCAGTTCTACCACTTAGTAGCTTTTTGTCATTATGAGAAACCTTGTTCTTTTGTATCTAAAAACTAGAAACTAATCTGAGGAGAATCACTGTCCCCCTCCTTCTTTTCCATATCATTCTGCATCTGCTCACAAATTGTCTTCTCAGTGATCTTCATAGGCTTTTCAAAGACAAAAGCCAGTAAGTCTGATGATCTTTTCCTGCTTTCCACATTGCCCCTAAAGCAGTGATCCATAGAGGTGAGTAGGCTACCTGACTGAATGGAGGGAAAGGAAAATATTTAGAAGAAACAAATAAATCAGCTATATGATCATCATCTTTATCATCATCACGTACCACACACATATTTGCCCCATTGTCTTCATCACCATATTCCAACTGATAACCACATCCAAAACAAAACGACCTAGTTGTCTGCAGTTTAGGCTTCCTTGTCCCTCATCCCTTCTCTTCTCTCTTCACCGCCCCTGCTGCCTTGTCATTCTATCCTTCCTATTCTTTGTCTCTCCATCTTGTCTCTTACCAACTCTTTCAAAGCCTCAGTACACAACCCTTTTATCCACCCCAGCTTACTGCAGTGGTTATTCTTAAATGGGACTGTACCCCTATGGAGTTTACAATCTCTGGGGAGAGGGGCACCTGGGTGGCTCAGTTGGTTAAGCAGTTGAGCATCTGACTTCAGCCCCGGTCATCTCACGGTCTGTGAGTTCGAGCCCGGTGTTGAGTTCTATGGTGACAGCTCAGAGCGTGGAGCCTGTTTTGGATTCTGCTTCTCCCTCTCTGCCCCTCCCCTACTTGTGCTCTGTCCCTCTTGCTCTCAAAAATAAATAAACAAATAAGGCATTAAAAAAAAAAAAAAAGATGAGAATCTCTGGGGAGAGAGTGAAGAGGTCTCTATAGTTTGAATTAGTTTCATAGGTGATTCCAATTGCCTCCCTGGAAGGTATGTGCTCATCTGTCCTCCAGTTGAGAATTATTGATATAAAAAGCTCGTAACTATCTATTTTTCTACACCAAAAAATAGCTTGATTGAAGTATAGTTGACACACAGTTAATTGCACATATTTAAAGTGATAAATATTTGATATGTTTTGATATACATAGACACCTCTGAAACCGTCACCATAATTAAGATAGTGAACATATGATGTGACCATAGTTAACAATGCTGTCTTAATAGCAACTTGAAAGTTGCTAATAGAGTAGATATTAAAAGTTCTCACCGCACACACACAGAAGTAAATATGTGAATTGATCAATGTATTAACTAACATTGTGATAATCATTTCATAATATATATGTATATAAAACCATCATTTTATTTTTTTTTAATTTTTTTAAATATTTTATTTGTTTAGGAGAGAGAGAGAGAGAGAGAGAGAGAGAGACAGCATGAACAGGGGAGGGTCAGAGAGAGAGGGAGTCACAGACTCTGAAACAGGCTCCAGGCTCTGAGCTGGCAGTCAGCACAGAGCCTGACGCGGGGCTCGAACCCACGAACCGCGAGATCATGACCTAAGCGAAAGTCGGACACTTAACCGACTAAGCCACCCAGGTGCCCCTAAAACCATCATTTTATACCTGAAACTTCATAATGCTATCTCAGTCATATCTCAGTAAAGCTGGGGAAAAAAAGACAATGAATGTATGCATTACCCCACAATGTATCCTTGTGCCCCTTGGTAATCCCTCTCTCCTGCTCCTTGCCATCATCCTTCCCAAGGTAATTAGTGATTGCTTTCTGTCTCTATAGATTAGTCTGAATTTTCTAAAGTTTTATATTAATGGGATCATTCAGAATGTTCTTTTTTTTCTGGATGCATATTTAGGGGTAAAATGACAGACAGCAGATTATCTCTTGTGGAGAGGTACAGGAATAATTGGGAAGAGGCAAACAGGTTTCTAAGATACTGGTAATGCTCTCTTTCCTAAATTGGTAGTAGGTATAGAATCATTGGCTTTGTTAGTCCTTAAATTATTTATACTGTATTTTATATGAATGAATATTTCACAGTTAAAAAATAAAATAGAAAAAGGGAGTAGGGACATTAGAGTTTTGGATGTCAGCTTTTCTATGTTCACTTTTGGTTCAATTCTAGAAGCATTTGAAGTCATTTGTCTTTACGTCTTCCAGCATTGTACACAGGAAGTAAAACCTTCCCTTAAACATGGAATAGAACCCTTTTTTTTTTTTTAATGTTTTATTTATTTCTAGGAGAGAGAGAGACAGCATGAGCAGGGGAGGGTCAGAGAGAGAGAGGGAGTCATAGACTGAAACAGGCTCCAGGCTCTGAGCTGGCAGTCAGCACAGAGCCCGACACGGGGCCGGAACCCAAGAACCGCGAGATCATGACCTAAGCGAAAGCCGGACGCTCAACCGACTAAGCCACCCAGGCGCCCCATGGAATAGAACCCTTTATGTAGACCCTGAATAGACCAAACCACATTATAGCCTTTTGGACCAAGCACTGACCTCAGGCCAATCTGAACACCCCCTAGAAGAACCATTTCTTAGTTAGAGTACCAGAACAGAGATGGCTACAGCTGCTAACTTACCTACTTTTGTTTCTTTTCTGTTGCTGATAAGCAAAATTGGGGAATCTTAGAAAGCTAAAATGATAAAAAAAATTTTTAAAGCTAAAATAAGGGTGGCTCAATCAGTTAAGCATCCGACTCTTGGTCTTAGCTCAGGTCTTAATCTCAGGGTTGTAAGTTTAGATCCTGCATTGGGTTTTGTGCTGGGCATAAAGCCTACTTAAAAAAAAAAGTAACATGGCAAGACAATACCAAATATTGGTGGGATGTGGAGTAACTAGAACTCTCAGGCCCTGAGAGATGGTACTGTAACTTGGTATGTCCACTTTGGAAAACTGACATTATCTGTAAAATCTCTACATACATATCCATTATGGCACAGCACTTTTTCTCCTAGCTATGGATCCCAAATAAAAGGATATGTATGTTATCAAAAGGTATAGCAGCACTATTTTAATAGCTATAAGTTGGAAACAACTCAAATGTCCATCAATAATAGAATTATGACATATTCATACAATGTAATATTAAACAGCAATGAGAATGAATGAACTACAGATTTCATACAATATAGATGAATCTTGCAAACATAATATTGAGCAAAAGAAGCCAGACACAGAGTGCATGTTATACCATCCCATTCATATCCATTTCAAAAACAGGCAAAATAACCTATGGTGTTAGACATTAGGATAGAATATACCTTTTGTGGGGTTTTAGTGACTGGAAGGGGACCTGAGGCAGTTTGGGGAGTTCTAATAATGTTCTCTACCTAATCTAGGTGCTGGATACCAGATGTGTTCATTTTGTACATATTTATCGATCTGTACACTTACATAATTTGTGTACTTGGCATGCTATACACTCTCCCCATGTGAAAAGATGCTGTGCAACGTACAGAGAGGTGAAATTCTGCTCACTGCTGTAAAGAACATAAATGTTCATTTCACAAGGATCATAGAGGAAGAGGCACTGGAGTTGGTTCCTTTTAAAAAAAAAATTTTTTTTTAACATTTATTTATTGTCGAGAGACAGAGACAGAGTGTGAGCAGGGGAGGGGCAGTGAGAAGGAGACACAGAATCCAAAGCAGGCTCTAGGCTCTGAGCTGTCAGCACAAAGCCCTGTGCGGTGCTCGAACCCACAAACTGCGAGATCATGACCTGATATAACGTCGGACACTTAACTGATTGAGCCACCCAAGCACCTATATGAGTAGCTTCCTAATTAAGGGTAGCATTTAGATGGGAGGAAAGTTGGTGGGGGGCATTCCAGAATGGAGGAAATCTTGATCTAGGATCCAGAGGTAAGAGTGAATTGATCAGTTTAGCTGGTGCAGAAGGTGACTGGCTGAAGAGTTAAGACTGAACATGGGACTCAGGTCAGATTGTGGGCAGGCTTCAAATGCCAGTGCTCAGAAATGGGTGGCTCTTGGCCCAGTGATGGCCTGCAGATGTGTTTTGTTTTCTGTGCTCTGGTCCTTTTTATTGTTTTTTCAAGTTTATTCCCATTGTTTAATAGTTGGGAGAGTAAAATAAAAATTCAGATTTCTGGCAATACTGGGATTGCATATTTTATTGTGAAAAATTAAGATTATTTCTTTGTGTTTAACATACACAGTTTGTAGTGTGTGTATAAGACTTTATTTTTCTGCCTGGCACCTGTAGGCACTATTGTTTGCAACTCTGCATTTGGGGAGCTAAATATTCACAAATACTTATATTAATCCATTTGAGAAGTTTCCTGAGAAGCTTTTTGAATAATTTGAAATTAAAGAGATTATTTTATGAGATTATTTTTATTATGGCACACTTCCTTGTATCTCATAGCCTCTCTGGTTAACAGGACAATATTTTCATTTAGAATTTTAAAAATCTGTTTAGAATGACCAGAAATAATTTTCTTTTTCATTTTAGGTACCCCAGTAATTAAAGAGGATGAGGAAGAAGATAACTAACACCACGTTTTCCGCTTCGTGTTAACTTATTTGAATGTCATAAGAACAATAGATAAGTTTTGTATAATTGTCTATTTTAAAGATTCTGTGTTGGGCAAAAGATTAAGATAAAACAAATCTCTCATTCCTATCTTTTTTTAAACCTATTTAGTATTTCTCCCTCCAAACAGTAACAGTAACACCAACTCCATATATTGTAGTACTATTTTTAGAAATTCAGATTTTCAATTTTTGTCTTTAGTCCCAGTTATGTACTGTGTGGTCCCATCCACTGAAACTTTTATAGACTAGTCATTTTTAACAACCAAGAACAACAAATACGGTTCTTTATTCAGTTTAAGTTTTTTTTTTCTTAGACCAGGCATTTAAATATACATACTTAACCTCTGAGTCTGTAGACCATCTTTCCTGAAGGTCCATGTCTTTATGATTCAGAAGCACAAATATGTCACGCCTCTCGTTCAGAAGACAGCACAGTGACAGGAAGAGTTCCTCTTAGAAGAAATACAGAGCAGCCCTAGAACCACGACTCCCAAAGTCCAGTTGGAAAAGCTGTGGTGAAAAAAGGAAAAATTAATATCTTGGAGGCCTTATAGCCCATGTTATATTTCATTGCTTTTCCAAAAATGTGTGCACTGTCAACTGGAATTTAGGTTGTGTTTACATGCCTGGCCACTTGAGTCACTGTGCACAGTCAGTCATTCTGTGATCCAGGTCAGTGAGTGGTTAAAATGACTGCCATGATCATTCCTTTGACCAGTACTGTGGTCATGTTACTCATATGGACCTGATCTTAGGCACACTTTTTGGTTTATAGTCCCTTATATGTCATATAAGGAAATGTATGTAAACAATAGTTATATCTGAATTACTAGCCTAAATGTTGGCCATTTGTATATGTCAGAAATTACCCTAATAGCTTTGTTCTTTTGACCCTCATGTTGGGAGAAATGATTGCTATAAATAAGGATATAGAACCTAAAGACTACGTCTAATACATTTCAACAGATTAAATTTAGAATTTCAAAATATATTTTTAGAATGCTTCTAAGTTAAACAGCTCTTAAAATGAATTATGTAAGTGATTGTGGAGGAAAAAAAGAAGAGATATTTCATTGTGGGATCCCAGGCAAAGGGCAATATTTTTGAAGATTGCCTTCTCTATGAAGGATGGTAGGTGATTTAACTTTAAAATTGCAAAGCAATAGTTGGAGACAGAGCTTAGAATTTATCATAGAAGAAAAAAAAATTCTTTTTGGGAAATACAAGATATAGTAGTCAGTAACCATATGATGATGAAGTCCATAGCAGGCCGTGACTGAATCACTGACCATTTCGGAAGAGAAGTTAGAGGCGCTCTGCCAAATTGTGCCTAAAGTCCCTCAACCAGAGACTGATTCTTATTTCCCCATTTACTTGTGTAAAACCAGTCAAAAAGAGGAGAGTCATTTTTTTAAGTGATTGCATAAGTAGTCCTGGGCTTCAGAAATTTTCAGCTATCATTTAAGTAGGAATTATGTGATTTCTCTGAGTCACTCTGATCTAAAGGGACCACTGCTTTGACAATCAATTCTGAATACAAATAGGAAGAGGAAAAATTAGTCCAACACTTTTTGCTTCCTTTTAGTTCTTCCTTATAATCTGATAGAAAGAAATCTTTACTCCGGCTTATACATTCAAAGCCTTTGGGTATTTTGTGAACTGTAGGCAATGAGTATTCCCCTTGGTGATGTTTAAATCCCCAAAACTAGGAGGGAAGACGATCTTCCTCACTTGTAGTTTGCACGTCATCCAGTAGGAAAGCTTGAAGCCATTTTGCTATGTATAGACATATTTTCTAAAAGTCACTCTGGAGGTGAATATAGTAGGGAATGGATAACTTCATATTGAATCTGTAAAATGGCTTATGTTGTTGGCATTTGGTTTTCTGAATTCTATAATATAGAAAATAATTTTCTCTGCTTTTCCTTGTTTCTTAATATTTTTAAGTCACTGATAGTTCTCAGAGAAATGTAAGGTGCTTTTCTGTGTCCACTTCACCCAAAATTCATATTTAGTTGCACTCGACAAATATTTGAATGACTTCTGTACCTTTTTATGGAATTAAGGCCAGAATCCATGCCATTAGAAAATGGAAGATAGGGTGTGTGAATACATTCAGAACATTCTCTCTAATCATTCCTTAAATCATCATTTTCTGTTGCAAATTTGGCTGATGTTAAATGCCTTTGGTTTATAGATTAGCTTTTTGAACTACTTGGAATGGATTCTCTCTGTGCTCTTGGTTTAAAGCATGATGCCATTTGTGTGGCTCATTTAAATTTTTGTCTATTCTTGTAATGATAGTAGAACTCTCGAATCAGTCCAGTATTTTAATTTTTCACAGGTCACTTGATCTTAGTCTACATAGGAATTCAACTTTTCTATGTTCCCTAACTGTAAGTTTATGGCTGTATTACCTGGTCAGGCCTTGAAAGGTTTTTGTGTTATGTGTTCATAGGAGTTTGTTCCTTTAGATCAGAGTTTCTCCATGTTGGCACTATTACCATTTTGGGTTGGATAATGTTGTCCTGTGTATTACAGGACGTTTAGCACCATCTCTGGCTTCTACTCACTAGATACCAGTAGAACCCCTGGTTTCATTCTGGCAACCAAAAATGTCTTCATACATTACCATCTGTCCCCTCTGCCGGTGGGGTAGGAACAAATTCGTCCCTGTTGAAGAACCAGTGCTTAGTGTATACTAACATTCCTTTTGTCCAAGTACATTTATTTTCACTCTAGCCATAGATGCCACCTGAGTTGTTGTATGAGAGAAGGTGATGTATTTAGTAATTATGGATGGAAGGAAAATGGTCATTGGTGTTTTGCTTTTTTATAATGCTCATTTTAATAATTTTCATATAACATTAGAAACTCAGGGCTGGAAGGTTCAACTTACATTTTTCAGCAGGGTCTCAACTTTTATTTCTTAGTATTCCTGCTTATCTTAGGACAATGATTATTAACCTACCTCTTACTATAACAGAATTCGACTTTATGATAGATTTTGCTTTATCTCTGAGTTGAACATTTTGAGTGTACTTTTAGAAAATGGGTCATTCTTTAAATGTTTGTTCATTGTCCACTAATGCATAGATTTTCCAGACTGTAGCAGTCATTAAATACAGAAAAATATTGTATAAAATTTGGCAAAATTTGGTCATCATATGTGAAAGTTAGCTGGTGTAAACACCAATTTTGGATGTGATCAGAAGAATGTCATGATAATTCGTCATTAGCTTGGTATTACTTGTTATGGTTATTAGATACTTAAATGTGGTTCTTGTGTGGAAAAAGAATTTTGACTTGAATAGATGCTTCTTAAACCATTTACCAGTGGTCTGAAGTAGAGTAAGGAGGAATAAGACATGAATCTTAACTGTTGACTTATTCTCAGAATTGGTGGTGTGTAAGTGGAATTGAAGGTATTATCTCTGTAATGAAGAATCTTCCACCTGGGGTTTTCTTAGGACTAAATGGAAAAAGTGTAGGGTCTAGGAAGGTTGGACTTAATCATTCACTTTTAAAAATTGGTGTGTTGCAGGGGAATGTCAAAGTATTGATCATGAGTAGTCAGTGTCTCTTTAACTGCAGTTTGTCAATTTGTGAGGACCTTACATTGTAAGTGTTGGTAAAGGGAGAAGACTAACTGCTGAACTGAAAGTTATCTTTTTATTGATATTAATCCCTTTGGCACGTGTTTTCTTTATTTAAGCTGCTTACTGTGTCTGTGAATAATTAAATATAAAACAAGCTTCAGTGTAGCAGAGTTGGTGCTTCTGACACAGCTAACTTGAGCATATTTCTTTATCTTCATTCTAGCATGAGGTTTTGGTTTTGTTTTTTTTTCATAAAACCATAAAGTAGGTGCAATAAAAAAGTAAAGAGTATGTTTTTAAAAAATCACCGAAGTTTTAGAAATCCCACATCGAAATCTCTATTCCTACCTTTTTATAATGGACTGCAAAGGAAGAAAACTGAAAGTCAAAATGAGACTGAGTCTTACTTTTTTCTAAGAAAAACATTTTCACTTGCCACTTGGAGAAGTCATAACTGGATTCTAGTTAACTTCCCATATTGGGCAGGTTAGAGGGGAACCAGCCAACCAAATTATGATCTAGTAAACTTAATAAGGGGGTGGGGGAGAGTAAACTATTTTGCCGTAGATTTGCACTTTAAAATTATGAACTGGATGTTGGTGGAAAAGACTCCCAAAGGGCAGATAGGTGAATACCTATACTGCATGTGGATATTAGAGAATCAGACTTCATCCTTGTTCGTTCCAAGCCAACCTGAGCAGTAGTTATCTGTTGACATCATCGGAGTCTGGATTTCCCTATTTCCCTCTTTGTTGTCATCTTCCATGTCTGCTACATTGACAGTCATCCCTCTGGGGAATGTGTCAAGTAGAATTCTCTTACTCAGAATAGAAACTGTGTGCGGTATCTTTCCCACGTCTAGATCTTAACGGTTAGTTTAGATGTTGGTTAAATTAAGTTGTGGTTAATGTGACAAGGGTGGGAAGTTCTTTGCTTCTTTGATCTGTAGGATACCTGCCTCTGAGGTGCTATTGCCTAGAGGGATCAATCCCAACAAGAGACCTGTGAGCTGGTAGCGATAGAGGATATACATACAGCTAGCTACTTCTCCCAGGTGTCAGTCATATTACGAGCATCATTCCAGAATCTTTGGCTTCTAGTACCAACTCCATCCTAAAGAACATTTTAACATCTATTAATACTTTGGTAATAATCTTTTATATGCAGGAATTTTGTAGCATGACTTAATGACTAAACTTATTGTGTTAACTTATTTAGAAATGTTGAGTTTCTGAATGTTATTTTGTGAGACTTGTTTTAAAATAGTAATAAATTGTGTTATTTTATAAAAAAACATTAATTGTATCTTTTTTGGGTATATGACCATTAGTTTTAGCGAGTATAGAGCAACCACATGAACTTCCAATGACATCCAATTCTGAAGAAATTTGGTCTTTAGATCAAACATTCCACACAGCTTGTGGGTGTGTATGAGAGAGAGAGGGAGAGAGACTGACTCACTTCTTATGCCTTTTTTGTTTTCCCTAGAGTTCACTACCAATGACAGTCTCCTCTCCCAGGTTTCTAAGTCTTCACCAGAAGGTCTCTGGGCACCATTTCAAATGATTAGGATCCTGCAAAGTGCTTCCCAGGACAGCAAGTTACTACTGCACTTGACTATTCCTAGTCCTCTCCTCACATGTAGTATTAAGGTTAAGGTTGATTGATAGGCCCCTGATTTGTGGTCTGGAATAACCTGACACTGGTCAGCCCCCTTTTTTTTTTTTTTTTTAATGTTTTATTTATTTCTAGGAGAGAGAGAGAGACAGCGTGAGCACGGGAGGGTCAGAGAGAGAGGGAGTCACAGACTGAAACAGGCTCCAGGCTCTGAGCTGGCAGTCAGCACAGAGCCCGACGCGGGGCTCGAACCCACGAACCGCGAGATCATGACCTAAGCGAAAGTCGGATGCTTAACCGACTAAGCCACCCAGGCGCCCCCAGCCCCCTTTTTGATCCACAAGAGACAGGAAGAGCCTAGTAACAGCAGTAACATTACACATTGTCTCAGCACATATTCTGTGCCATCAGCCAAGTATAATTTTGGCCTCAGAATGGGACTGTGGTGCAGTTTCTACTTCTTTATTCCACAGTTCTTTGGTTATAAGGATGTTTCTTGCTCCTATCCTCCTTTTTGAGCCTTTTATAAAGAGAAAACCTTAATTCAGATTAGAAACAGCTCATTTTTAGTTTTCTAGAATAAAGGATGGATATATAGAATCCTGTACCATATATATGTATAAAATACATAGTATGTAGATGTCAATATATAATTGTTACATATAATTAAAGAATCCAAAGTGATAACCCTCCTTGCTAAAATGCAGCCAGCTCTGCAGCTATGAGAAGGTATATCCCTATGTACAGACATTGAAGGATGCCTCTGACATTGGATGGGAGAAATGTAGAACCCATTATTTTTGTTATGAACGTAATCTGCGTGGAGTGAGAATGTGTGTGGTGGCTGGCTTGTGTGAGGTGGCAGGGGGAGCATGTGTGGAGAAATAGGAATGTATGGTTGGGGTGGGAGACTGCTGTATGTGTGTGTGTGTGTGTGTGTGTGTGTGTGTGTGTGTGTGTGTGTGGTGGGAGGAGGGAGTGTGTTTATGAGAGAGCGTTGGGGGCAAGGTGGGAGTGAATGTGTACGGTAAGATTCTGAGAAGTGAGGGGGGTGTGTACCCAGTGCCATGCCGTCATGCCAATGGGGATGGAGAGGGAAGCTATGTGAGTTGGGGAGTGGAGGAATGAGGACACGTTTGTTGGGGGAAGCAAAGACTTGGCGTATCTGTTGTGAGAATCAAATATGTGGAGATGTGAGTGTTGAGAGAAGCTCGTGAGGGTGGAACAGACATAACATGGGAGATGACGGCATGAGTGAGCATATGGAAAAATGTTAGAATATACACCAGCAGTAGCCTTTATAAATAAATTTTTTACCCAATGATTGTTAAATAGGTTGCCTATAATTTTAAAGCCTTGTTAGTAGGGGAAAACCTCACTGAACACTTATGCTCATGTAACCACTTGTGGATTTACTAGGATCTCAAGACACACATTCAGTCACAGAAGTCAAACATGTTTTTAAACTGTTTCCCTGTTTATACCCTCTTGGTATCAAATGGCTGCTATAAATCTGAAACCTTCCTTTTAAACAGGTATGAGGAATTATTCCTCAGCAAAACAAACATTTTTAGCTGAAAAACGATTTAGAAGGGGGAGAAAAAGCATTGCTAGATGACATCCTGAGCCCCATTTCAGGTTTTTCTGACATTTTATAGTAAGTTAATATTTACTTAGGCCTTTTTAGCCTCCTAACACTTGCCTTGTTGAAAACATGCAAAAATTGAAAACACCAAAAGGTTCTGCAATTTCAACTTGCATAGTATGATGTAAAGCTTAAAGATAAAATCATTTAAGTCTGATTTTTTTTTAGCACCATGGGCAAGTCTTCCTAAGAGAACATAGAGCTTAATTACACTTAAATTTTGTATATGTGTCAGGAAAACAAGACAATAGAATTTTTAAAATATTTTTATTCATATACATGTACTTTGCTAACTGGAAATTTAGAACAATTAGAATCAGCAAGAACAAGAACTACCATTCAATGACAAAGATTTGCAGTGAGGGACTAGATACTGTAACTGGTTCTTTTTAACTTTCCCATGCAATTTATATCTGTATCTTGTACAGAGAAAAATTGATTTATACAGTCCTAGAACTGCAGTATTTTTCTAACACCCCATTCCACAGTCTCAGAATACTTGTCAGTGAAACCAATCCAGACGTTTCAAGATGAAAAATAAGAAATTTGCTTTGTACGGTTGAATAACTAATAATATCTAATTAAGTCTTCTTCCCATTAATATAAGTTAGGGACAATTTACTGTAAACACAAAAACTATTCACAATATTAGTAATAACGGCTCATATTTTTACTGAACACTTCTTGGGTTTGCCAGGTCCTGCAATAAACATCAGAACATGTAATTTCACACTAATGGGAAGTGTCACAAATTCACATGTTTTACAACTGATGATTGCCACGATGGCAGCTTGTACTGAGCACTGGTGCACAAGTCTTTACCTGGCATTGCAGCTAGGCACGACTCACAGTAGCTCAGGGTGCTCATTTGCACGACTGTACTACTAATGTTACATGAATACCAGGCCTGACTCCTCCCTGCCTCCCTCCAGAACATGGATGTCTTTACTACTAAGAGACACCTGTAAGATGGCATGGAGACCAGGAAAGCAGCTGTGATCTAGATCTGCAGTACAGCCTGTCTACTGGGCCTCAGAAGTGCCCCTCCAGGCCTAACTGCAGGAGGGCGGCCTCAGCCTCCTCCTCCTCCTCCTTGGCCTCCTCCTCGCGGATCTGCACCAGCAACTGGAAGAGGTTAGGCGCGGGCCCTTCCGCAGCCCCCGTCAGCCACAGCTGCCTTCGGATGGCCCCGCTGTGGTTGGCCCCGGCAATGACCTGCTCCAGGCGGGCCTGGTTCACGTTATCTTTATCTATGGCCCCCTTCTCTACCACCTTCTGCAGAAGAGGCTCCAGTCGAATGACATAGGCAGATAACTTTTCTCCCGGGTTCTGGTAAGTGTTCAGAAATCTGACCTGCGCATCCCTAGAGCTCTCGACGCTCCCAAACACCTGCTCAAGCGCCTTCAGGCATTCGGCAGTGGTTATTGCAGGGTTGTTAGTCTTGAGGATGCGGATGACGTCAGCGGCAGGGCCTCTGAGACTCTCCATCAACCGCCGCCTCTTTTCTACATCAGATACCTGCCACTCCTCTATGACCTCATTAGTGTGTTCCAGCCAGGGATCAAAGGTCTCTTCCCCCGGCCCCGGGATGTCCCTCCCAGAGAACAGCGTCAGCTTCTTGTACCATATGGACTCAACAAGAGGCTGAATAACGTTATCCAAAATATAGTTTAGCATCTCCGCCGGCATATCTGGGCCTGGGGCCGGAGCGGGGTTCTGAAACCCAAGGACGCGGGCAACATCTTGCACGGTCCACCCCTCTCTCGCCAGGAAGAGGTGTAGCCTTTCTAAAAATTCAGCATCGGAAGTCGGGGGTTTAAAGACCACTTTCCAGACCCCTCCTTTACCCGGCATCTCCCTGGGGATCGCGGCGTAATCGACAGCGCCAGTGAACTCTAACAAGGCTGCTTTCGCATTCTCTTCCCTCCAAAACATTCTCCCAAGTACTCGATAGGGCACCTGGGGCATCGCAGCCTGGAGGGTCTCTTCGATTTCAGCCTCATCACAGTTCACTGGGATCCCCCAGACTAGCAGGGCTCTCTGGGAGTTCACATCCATCCCCCTGCACCAGTCCTCCAACAGGGTCATCGCCATTTTCCCAACCAGCAAGGGCCCCAACTCTACAAATACGGATTAGACCGTGGCTTCACAGCAGACACTACTCTCCCCAGTATGACCGAGGGAGGCAAGCTTCACGCAATCACAATTAAATGACACCAGAGTCCTGCTCTGGTTCTTTCGCTGCCCCTCAAAGTCAGTCCTTCG